CACTTGTGTGTGTGTGTGTGTGAGGCAGTGTTGCTCTGGTCTATGACGGCTCCTATTCCAAAGAGCACCGCATGGGAGAGTGCGCCACAGTGTTCTTTCTCGTCTAGCAGCTGCCTGCATCTGTGTATGCCATGCAAAGTCTCCATACTCTACTCTCGCAGGTTCTATCGTGACAAGGCATAGCATCCCCTGTGTCCTCTATTCAAGCCTCTTAGTCCCTCGACGGCTGGCACCAGCACGGCCATGCAAGAGCCACGTCAACTGTCACAATAGAAGCCATGTCTCCAAGGGCACAGACAAGGCTGTTCGAATAGTCAATGCAAAGTAGTGCTCTGATCTGCAATCTCGATCGATGCCGGTATGGAGAAGGTTGACAAGGTACTCATGTCTTCGCAATTCCCTTTCCGGGCCCATACGACGGGGTGTACTTACGATTCGGACGTGAAGGGGCACTTCCTCTGCATATGTTGCAGCTTGTCATTCCTTTGCGGCACTATGGGGGGATGGGCCACGGCGGTATGCGAAGTTCAGGTACGACGTGCACTATGCCAAGGCTGGAGCCGCGTGGGGCACAGGCATTAGCTAGTCGCGACGGAAGGGTCGGGAGCATTCTGGATTTAGACGCCTTTCGAGGCTGCCGGTCACATGCACGTAGAAACAGCATGTGCCGCAAGCACGGCTAGCACGAAGCATCGGTGCAAAGTGGGAAATCCCTCATTGCGATCTACTGCGATCCCGTCGTTCCTGTCAAACTGAGCAGTTCGAGCTGTTTTTGAAAGCGGTGAAACAGAAGGACCGGCAAAGTAAGAACCCGTGAACAACATGTGCAAAATCTGGTGTCTGTGTTGAAGCATTTGTAAAACAGTGAATACAGACGAGGACACGGCTGTATATCTCTACATAAGGAAAAGTCTCGCCTTGGAATATGGCGCAATCAAGTTGCAAGTAGATGTTGGCAGGATTGGTATGTCTGGGTTCTGTCCGGGCCTCGCCTGCTCTCACGAGGCGAGCTGCATGAGATTCTTGTGCGACTGATCACCGAGGACTGGCTTGAGCACTGCGCATTTCATTTGCGCTGTGCTGCTGGTTCTCTTCCACGTCTACACCTTACATCATCACTCCCTGCAGTGTGGATGTCAGCCTGGCCCTAGGTTGTAGCATATTCACAGTGGAAAATCGACACCGGCATGGACCAGTGGAAGGAGGAGAATCCACATTCGCATCACAGGCGGTGCTCGGTGGCTCACTCGTTTGCCGGGTTTTTTTCGGCCGTGGGGCGTAGGCTCAACGGAATCTTTGGCGCCATACTGATGCTGTGGTTCTTCCTCCAGGCCGTTACAAAGTTGAAGATCAATGAGGATCTTGCTGGCATTGTCCTAGGACTCTGGACTGGTGAACAAGCTGTTCTTGGCCGGTATCTCCTTCTTGGGTCTGCACTTCGATTTTTTGCTGCTCAGCTTCATTTCTCAACCCGGACTCGATGGCATGCCCCCGCTGCATTCCATTCCAGGATTTTCTCCGTCCACCTCATGTACGTGTGCGCACAGGTGATACGGCCGTTGTCCAGACTTTCTGAGAGACATGTTCGCTGTAAGACCAGACAGAGCCGCTGCAGTTCTCCCTGATGCTTCTGGTACGAGTATGCTCTGCTATGCATTCGTTGAAGGCCCAGCTCTAAACGGAAAGATGCAGGTCGAGACGCTCGGCAAGGTTTTCGAGGCTCTCTGGATCACCAAGGATCAGGTCGTAGGCGCCCTGTGCTCGCGAACGCTTTGGATTCATTCGTGTCCCTGTGACCTTCCTGTCGACGTCAATGTACTGCATGGTTGAGTCAGGAACTGCTGTGCTGGGTTTCTGCGTCGCACCCTGAGAACCGACTTTCCGGCCTCAGCGTATGTTTTTCGGAGATTTCGGAGCAGTGCAGGTCCAGTACTGTTTCTTGGTCCTCGGCTTCCTGACTTTCTCCAAGGGCTACGGCTTTGCGGCAACTGTACAGCATATCCCATCTTGTTGTCTGTCTTTTCAACATCACCGGTAGTATTCTGGCAATGGCAACACCGCAGCACACTCCAGCGGCAGCCCAGGACATGGACACATCTGAGTGCTCCTCGTTGATGGAGTGCCTGTGCCTTGGCAGCACTTGGAGGTATGTGAACAGACCGAGCAGTCTTCGCAAAGTGCTCCATGAAGCAAAGGCTCGCTCACCTGGACTATGGATTTCGTTCAGGGCCTGTCTGGTCTACAGCGGAGCTGACATGGTGGAAGCAGCTCAGTTGCCGAGTAGTTATGACGCCATTCCGGAACGCCCCTGTTCATCCATGTGCAGGTTCGCCTTTGACTACTTGTACAATCTCGTCGTAATTCTGATCTTGGCGGCCATCATTTCCGGCATCATCATTGACACGTTTGCCAACATGCGAGCTGATCTGTCCGAGAAGAACGATGATCAGGAGAACAACTGCTTCATCTGCGGCATCAACCGATCGCAGATGGAACGGCAAATGGTCAAGTTCGAGCACCATGTCTTTCAGGCTGGGCCGCTGTGCTCTCTCTGCTCTCTATGCAGTATTCATACCCAGAACCCTGCCAGGAGCACTACATGTGGAGTTATGCTCGCTTCCTGATGCAGCTTGGAAGCGGTTTTGGTTGTTGGACACAACTCCTAAAGTGGCATGATGCAACCTTTTCCGCCGCCATTTTGTCGCAGCCTCGCAGAGGCTGGAGTCACAGCTCGTGGTTTCTGTTTCAATTCTGCGTTGCAGATTGTTCTTTGCAAGGTATCTCAAGCAGGCGAAGGATTCAGACTTGAACGGTCCAGAGTCCTTTGTCAAGGCCAAGGTGACGAGACAGGCAGTCGCCAGAGTCAGCAATGACGTTTGATCGGAATGGACTAAAGGTTTCGCATGTCTGAGCGTTGCCATGAGGACTACACCTTCTACCCAGTCAATCGAGCTTTGACGCTGGATTCCGATGATGCAGAGGCAGGTAGACGGGTCGTCTTGCTGGATCTGGAGCTCGGATTGCAACGTTAGGTTCAGATAGCTGTCACTCACGACCATCTCAAAGATTCCAATCGAAATCTGCACACGTCAAGACTGCGGTACACAGGCCTCGTATGCTAATTCAGCCCCGTTCGGTTTTTGTATGAATTGTGTAAACATCACGCGCCCGGATCTCGAACATGTCGATGCATGTGCCACACCGGAAGAAGATTTCCATGGTTGACGTCTCGGCGCAGGACTACACGGAGCGACAGGTTCGCATCAAGGATTTGGAGGAGATGCGCGGTTCTGCACGATGCTCAAGCGAAGCTCTTCAACTTCGTTCTTTTTCCTGGAAGTATTGTGAGGTGCGTCAGTGCACAGAGACCTCTCAGCACATCCTGCAACTGAAGCGAGAACTGAAGAAGCTTGGCAGCAGATGAGTATGATGGTCTGCCGTATTTAGACTGACTGCGGCAAGCGAAGACACCCAGCATGTCGGGTCGTTCGAGTGTGAGTCTCATGCTTGACCAGGACGGTCATGAAGGAATCCAACGAGGCAGCGGAACTCTCAGTGAAGGCCAAAACATCCACAAGTCAGAAGCATCGGCCACGGCAAGAACATACAAAGAAGCAAGAAAGCGATTGTCAATATTGCACGGTCAGCGCTCGATTGGCCATGCCTGCCAAGGTTGCCGACATGCAGATGCGACTTCAGCTTTTGACCGGAGATGTGCACAAGAAGGTGCGACTATGAAGCGCTCTGCAGTGGTAAGTTCAATTCACATCTGAACCGGCCTTGACCTACTGTCTCATTTTTATGTTTCCCACCACTGAGGTTCAAGAAGCAATGCTTCAAAAAGCTGCTCAGCAAGCTGCAGGCCATCGCTCCAATTCGCAATGTTTGCTATCGTAGTCTTTTCAAGTACCGGGAGGAGACAAGTAAAAAACAATGAGCCTCTTCACATCAGTCATCCCCGGTAATCAAGAGCCTTGGCCGAAGAAGTTACAGTCACTGCGTACAAGTGCCCCTTCCACCCTGCTCTGTCTTTGATTACTTCTACCAGGGCTTGACAGACATCCGCGGCAACATCCCGGGACGCGTTGTATTCTGATGGAAGTCATGACGAAGGAAAGATCAGACGCCGAGGAGGATCTTGACGCTGGCACCGATTGCCCCAGCCAAGATGCTGTTTCTAGAGTTCGTGATGGGGAAGAAGATCACTCCAGGATCGTGGAGGACAGCCGCGCAGGCTGACTGTGCCGCGCTGCGAAAAAGCGCTCGATCTTCGATGAGTCGGCACTGTTGGGACAAGAGTGGCTTCGACGATGACTGTGCTTGGAATCCACATTGCAGTGCCATTGCCAATCCCGGTTACCTGCTTCGTTCCTTTCTGGACGAGAATTTCTGATCCAAGTGCGACAGAGACAGCGATCCGCAGAACACGCTGAAGCACGTGAAGCAAGCTGGTCCCAGGAGGATTGGACTAAAAACAACGTTGTCACTAGAGGCATCCAATGCGATGTGTCAGGCGTCCAAATCTTGTCCAGTCTTTCTGCGTCCAGCTCCTGGTGTCTGTATAGCATAATTGATCTCTAATTGTTACTCTTGGCAAATGATGCGAGGATCTCTCTAGCCTCGACCGCTAGCAAAGACAGTTCCACGCAAATTTCATGCCAAGTGCATGAGTTGTACGTCCGTGCATGGAAAAGCCGCTGCACAGCTTGGAATCTATGACGTGCAGGAGGCTGAAGCTACGCTGCTTGGAACCTGGAGGCTCTAAGGGCTTCACCTGCTGCCTGAGTTCATACCGCATAGCCTGCTGACAGGATACACTTGCTATCTCTGCACGTCTAGGACTAGCACGCCTCCAACGTATGCTTGTGTTTTCTTTCGTACATTGAGAACCTCCTGTATTCTGAGACGAAAATTAGTCCGGAGTTGGTGACATTTGTCTGCCAATCGCCGATGTCTGCCGACAGAGCGTCCTCTGACCTCTGCAGCACAGCTTGGCCGGAGATAGACACGTCCTCCTGGCAACAAACTTTGGCTTCCACTGCACAGGAGCGAGAAAGAATTGTTGCAAGCCTCAACCAGGAGCTCTGCTTGCTGGAGGGACTCATGAGCCAGACCGTCGCTACAATATCGGCTTGTCCTCAATCACTGGCTGGAAGCGGATCACCACGGTCTCCAATCAACGCATGGGTGAAATCTGCATATTCGGGTATTGTGTCCCCGTCGGTTCCTCCTTTCATTCAGCCTCCAAGCATGGGACCGGAATCCGTGCAGCTTCCACCGCAGACCAGGTCAGCTTCCACGCCGTCCTTGGGCAAAATCCAGACCGCATCTCGTTCCGTCGGCTCTTGTCAAGAAGCGAGGAAGGGAGCCATGGGAGCCAAAGCCACGTTGCAGAGCAAAGCGAAGCCTGAAGCGGTGAACGCGCTGAACCGTCAAGCGGCGACTCGAGCACCCGCCCGGCGCAGGGGCAGCGCACTGCCAGCATGGCCAAACCCGAATCAACGGGGACCTGTCGAGCCGGTGCAGACGCCTCCGTGCCCGCGGCCCCTCGTGCATCTCTGAACTTGCGTTGCGCCACAGCCCAGCCATTTTGGACAGAGCCTGACGTCAAAGTGCGTCATTGCCGCTCCAAAGATGTCCAGCCAGATGAAGTTGGCGGATGTTTGCTCTTAGGTGCCAGTCCGATTCAACATCGCCCGTGTGCGTGCGTGTGTCCCTGTCCGCGTGTCCGTGTTATTGTCTGTGTTTGTGTGAGAGAGAGAGTGTGTGTGTGTGTGTGTGTCTATCTGTCTGTCTGTCTGTCTGTCTGTCTGTCTGTCTGACTGTGTGTGACGGTGTCATCAAGTTGTTTCCGAAGCTGCGGCTCGCAAGCACAAGCACTGCAACCAGGGACAGGTCCACAGGGACAGCCATTCTTGCACTCAAGATTTTAGGACATCCAGAAACCGCTCCATTGAAGCTAGTAGATCTGTGGGAATCAGGGTCATGCCTGCCGAGGAGGACGGTGCTGAAGTCGAGCGGCGTAGATGATCTTGTGAATTACAGTACCATAGTTTGGGATATCATCCAGAGAACAAAACATCTGGTGCTAGGGTGGAGGCGATTTCGACTGAGCCTCACAAGAGTTTTATGATGCGGGCTTGCACAGATGTGCACATTTGCTGATATGCAAGCGGGGACGGTGCAACTTGCTAGAGCTCGCGTCGACGCATGTCTCGAACATCTTCGGTGTCAGCTGTAGGATCCAGAGGAGGCGGCAGCATGGGTACAGCACCTGAGTCTTTGATCGGACGTGTCATGAGCCAACACATCGGAGATGAGGCTGCCTTGCGAGAAGCTTTCGGGGAGCCCAGCAGGAGATTGCACTTTCCCCGGCAGTCGAGTTCACTCCTCGCGGCACCGCCGGCAGCCAGGATGCTAAGCAATGCCAAGGATGGCCGCAAGGTGCCTGCCAGGTGCAGAGCATTGCTCACAAGGTCTCAAAAAATGCCCGCAACATCGCAGTCTGCGCAGGTTCACAAGCGACAGCGGTGTAGTGTCCAAACAGCCTCATCGAGGCCTGTCCGGCACAAAACGATTCGTTCGATGCATTCAACCGTAGGGCCATCAGATCAACGATACTCTGCTGACAGTTCTGATTGTCCCGCCGTGCCTGTGCTGCTCAGGGCTCGACTTGGCACAAGATCAAGCTTCTGGTCATTGGCTTCAGTCCGAGGCATGTGGCACCTTGCCGGTGAGTGGAAACAGCATTGAATGCGGGTGAAGCTCGCTAAATGCTGCAGGTTGACCGATTGGTTGGTGAGGTTCAGCGCGTTGCTGGACAGCCCTTTTCTGCCAAGCTGTTCCTCAGCCTGCACGTATGTTTTGCTAAGCATCATCTCAATCCGGACGGTGCGCAAGCTGGTGACATGGAGCTCACAGAATGTTACTGATCAGGTTGCAGGCACTCTGGCACTTACCTCTGGAGGAACAGCAAGAGGCGTCAGTGACTCAGGAGATCCATTTCATCCCTTCCAGTGGCCCCAAGCCGTGCTGTCAAGGCTTCTGGGAGCGCGTGCATTGGGCTCCAGGAGTCTGAACCACAGAGCTGCTGGGCATGTGCTGGGCATCTCGAGCCACCCTAGCATGTGGTATCAGATATCAAGCATCGTCGAGCCGTCGAGGTGACGATAGTGTTTGGCAGCTCTTGGCAGATGAGGCCTGGAAGCTTTCCGGTTCCAGTGGAGGACCAGGTCAAGCTATGAATTCTTTGCCTTGCCCAGGTGCATGCTCGGGAGGACAAGCAGCCGGCCCGAGACCGGGCCATGAAGGAACAGAAGCGGAAGCGAGCCGATGGTTCAAGCGCACCTTGAGCCGGAACTGGGCCGTGTGATGCCTTGAGATGCAGAGCTTTTTCTGTTCGAGGTCAAAGCGACACCGCCGACGGCACCAGCTCTGCCCGTGGCCCTGACCAGCACGTGGAAGATTTGAAATTGTGAATCTGCCCGTGCCAAGGCTAGGACCCCAAAAGAGCAAAAAACAGACGAAAGGCCCGGAGCTTTTTTGCTAGCCTAGGGTGTGGCCATGTCCTCCTTGCATTTGATGTTGCTTTGCATGCTGAGAGAAAATCCCACAAGCGACTGGAAGAGACACCTCCGCGACAGTTGACAGGTCCTGGTGCTCGAGTACGCTCTCGCTCGAGATCACCATCGATTTGATGCAAAAGGAGTGTTGGCGAGCGTTTGTGCAATAGTTTGCCAGTGTTCCAAAGCCCAGACTGAAAACATGGTTGCTACAACTCGGTTTCTGCGGCTCGCCATGGCAATGTGTTTTGGCTCATGTTTGAGTGCTCCGTGCCTGCTGGAAAACCTCGGCTGCTTTGGCTGCACATATCGAACCGGCTGTGGCATTCGGCATGGAGTGATTGTATGTCCCTGACAGCCCATAGATCACCTTAGATCACCTAGATTCCGATGTCAAGAATGTTGTCTCGGCTACCAGGCAGGTCTGCACATCGTACCCGTCTGGGCCCCATGTGGGAATATGAAAATGCCATTGGATTTGCACGTCCGCTAGAAGGCGACTACTCACGGCGATGTGGTGCTTGCGTGCGATCCCGAGATTCGAGCCGAGCCCTAAAAATCTGTTGTTTGAATCAATGCGGAGGTAGACGCGCACTGCACCTCGCATCCATCTTCTGCGTGACGAGAAGCTTTGCCAAGAAGAGCCAGCACGACTCTCAGAGATATTGGCCTTGGCACCGACATGCACCGATCCAAGCCTCAGCAGATCTCAGATTCGTTTGCTTCACACCTACCCACCAATTACACGATTACCACTCGCATGGATGTGCCTTCTGCAGTCCGTAATTGTGCAAATGCTTCAGCCTGACTGTGAGCCTTCCGTAGGCCTTTGTCCGTTGTTTGTCTATGAACAGACGATTTGCCTAGTGTTTGGCCGCCTTCCTGTGTCCTTGTCTTTCGTGGTGAGCTTTGAGTGCGATCCTCGGAGCCGGGAAGCTCTTCTGTCGCAGGTTGGGCCTGACCTGCGGCAGCACCGGCGCATGCGATGTGCGAAGCTTATACCAGGATGGAAAGCATTAGTTTTTCTGTTCGTGTCTTGAGGAGTTCGAGGTGGAGCTAGCCGAGGAAGAGTTGGCTTCAGAAATGCAGGCGAGGGCGTTTGCAGGTGGTCTCCAGCCCAGATTCCCGGTTCCAAGTGTATGGGAGTGGTGGGAACCCTGTTGAGATCCTCGTGAGAACTCTGCCTATGACAGTCGTTACCAGTCCCGGGCTTTGCCACAGCGGCGATTGGCTATCAGCGTGGGGCATCCGAACTTATGTGCCATGCGGTGCATGACTAGTTCCGCTTCTTCACACGCGGTCCCCGATGTGTGTACCCTAATTGCATATACAGCACAACCTGAGCAAAAGACGAGAAGACGGAGGGAGCAAACAAGAAGCAACAGTCTTGTTGGAGGGTGTCAGTGGGACGGAATGGATTCTTAGAGAGCAACACGGCTAGGAGAACGTCGGCCAAGCAGAAGCTGGAGACAGTGGACAGTGCTTGGGTCAGAATCTGGAGTCCTGAGCTCCGAACCTTAAACGGTCCCTGTGACGCAAATTTGCATCACAGCCCGCGAGAAGTGACGACGATGCCACTGACGCACTCATGAAGCGATACTTGCCTGCTGCCTCCTGCTGGGGTACAAGAATTCGGGACCTGAACGAATGGTCCCAGTGTCCAAACTTGGAGTTTCCCCCTTCATTCGGTGCTGTGGTAAGCATCGCAGCTTTGGAGGTCGAACTTTTGCAGAGGATGCCTATGGACATCCGGCTAGCTGCCAGCGCAGAAGCAGAATCCTTAGACTACCCAGTACTGTACCAAGTTTCGGGGCCTCGGCACGGCGTCCGGCCGCCAAGGTTGCCACAACAGAGCAGGTGGCCAAAAGCAAGGCGTGCTTGGTGGATCATTTAGCATTGAGCTTAGCAAGGCTTAGCTGGCTTAGCTGCTTAACCGCTTCGACAGCAGTCTTCAATATGCTGCCTTGCTGTGACGTGCTGTGCAATGAGGTGGGATCCTGGCATGTCGAGGCATCCCCTTGTCACTGTGCCCCACTGACATTGTCATGATCTGGCCAGAACGCCTTGGGCATCGATGGTGTGACCGTGCTCATGCAAATCTCGCCAAGGCCACAAGAAGTGTTTGCGACTGATGCCTGCAAAATCTCAAAACTCTACGCCCCAAAACCCTAAGCCCTGAATGGGTGCAAAAAAGTGCAGGTCATCCGGCGTATGTGAGGACGCTGGCAGCCCAGAGTACACATCTGAAGATGTGGCGGTGCAATTCGCCGTTGCACTTGGTGAAAGGTGGTCGGGCAGATACACTACCTTGGGAAGCAAACACAGTCCTCGACCAAGAATCGATTCAAAGTGCTTCACGATAAAGTGACCACTGTTCATAGAAAGTACAGATGTAGGTGTTCGTCCCCTTGAGGTCATGCCATGAACTTCCACGAACGAAAACTTCTATAGGAAAATCATGGCAGGTATGCAATTTCTGCTACGGCGTTGGACAACGGCAAGCTGCACGTGAAGTACGTCAACAAGCAGGAAACATCCGAATGCAGTGGCAGGGCTGGTGAGGTTCCGCCAGGCTTCCAAGCCTTTTGAAGGTATTGTCCCCGCAGCGTTTCTCACAGCAACTCCAAGCGCCTCACCTGCTGTGAACACGAAGGTATCAGTAACAGGAACTGGGTCACCACGGACATAACACTGGCACCGACAAGCCGCCAGCCGTAGTTTATCCGCAGCTATCACGAATGGGTTCCAGCAGCGTCGTATCTGCAGCCCTGCCGCACGGGCCTCGGCTGGGTTCAACGGTGTACGCAGAGCAGGTAGCAGATGACATTGACATGCTAGATCTTTGTGAGAGAGAGAGAGAGAGAGAGAGAGGCTCGCAGGAATCGGGGCTTTCCTTGCCAGACCCAAGCTGCTCAACTGCAGGCAACAGCCATTGGTCACGGCTTGTTTCGTTACTAACAGATGCGGCATATCACAGCCAAGGCTTTGGAAAGAGGTGATTTGCCCAATTATTGTGTCCCTCATCAGGCTGGCGCATGTCATTTACCTGCTGCAGCGAATCCCTTGCTGAGTTTCGTGCATCCAGTACGCTGGTGTCGCTCTTCGTGCTCTTTGGGGCAGCGCTGCACCCGCAAGCACATGCTCTCATCAATGCAGGATGGCCAGGCAGCGCTTCCTAGCAAGACTGACTCCGCAATCTGGGGCGCTGTCAGATTCAACTCCAAAGCAGAATGGGCTAGGGAGTGTCGCGTGCAGCTTCTGCTTTTGGTTATCCCGGAACATGCACCATGTCGAGAACGAATTCGGCATCCGTACTCCCAAATCCGCTGCCAAGCAGGAAGAAATCTGAAGGTTTTTTTAAATGCATCTGCACTGCTGTGACCTGTGTACTGGCATGCGGCATACCCGTGCACGGCACGCAGAGCCCTGAAGGATGGCTTGCCTGGATTTCCGGAGTCTTACTGGTCCTTGCAGAAGTGGCTCTGGTCAACATCATCTTGATGCTCGCCTCTGTCTTAGTTTCTGGAGGATTGTCTGTCCATTGAGTGACCATCGCCACAGAAAATGGTTTCAGGTTCTTTTTGGCTGCGCTGGGTCCTTGGCCCTCGATGAAAGCCGCGGTCTTGGCAGAACCTGTTGAAACTGAGGTTCAATCGAAGATTTCGCGTGCAGTGTTGCAAGAGAGACTAGCTGCACATAATATGATTGCAATCGGAGTTCCAGTCGTGTCGGTGACATTCGCAAGCATGTGCAGGGAAAGAAAAAGCGATAAGAGCGGTTGCACTTCAGGAAAGGAGTCATGGACCAGCTGCGCGCAGAGTTTGCACAGCGTGGACAGGAGCTTCCGGAGGCATCCAGCATCAGGGACGCAGAAAGCAGAGCAGCGGGTCCTCCAATCCGGTGTTGGGGAAGTTGCATGAACCATATGAACCATGTCCGATCCAGGATCGCGGCATCCATAAGGCCCGAGCTACAGAAACGCACAACACCGCTTTCCGGCAACGGAAGCTCTTCTTTTTGTGATGCCCAACCAGGGACATCGGCTCGACGGGGCCTGAGGCAAGATCCGTGTTCGGCGACTGCAGGCTGTCAAGCACCCGGACGCGCCTGGGACCTTGGATCCCCCTCGGTCAGATTTTCATCCAAGCGCCCTAAGAAATCAAGCTTAAACTCAGCAAAGCCCACTCGAACAAAAAGGTAAAGCTAAGTCAAACTCGAGACTAGGCGCGGAGGGTCAGGGTTGAACAACTGCCTGATCTGACACGAGTCAGCAATGATGGCCAGGCAGGGATCAGCTGCCAAGAAATCCCGGCTCCCAATGTACTCCAATATGATTAATTACTGCCGAGCGCTCCTTTGCACGCATGAGACACAACAAGAATCAACAAGGCACCTGGTTGGCTGCCTCGCACAATAGTATGAAGAGCTCAGACAAAAACTGAGCGACAACCAACGGCAAACAAAGTGCACGGATTCCTCGCCAGTCCAACTCAAGCGGGCCAGAACAAGAAGCAAAGCAGGAATAGGAAGTGACCAGCATTACTTGTGCCGCAGTTGCTGCTTGTGCATATGCACGGTCAGAGCAAGGTCGCTTGAGCCATCGAGGTGTCTAGGGGTTCTTTTCTCAGCCCCAAGCTAAGCCAGCCACCACAGACCCCTGAATTGTGTTTAACGTCATCCTCAGTCCCATAGCCCCTCAGTGCACAGCAAGCGTCGCCTCGGAAAAGGTGGAAACAGAAAGCCTAAGAATGCTTAAGCTTCTCATCCCCAGCCCCTGCCATTCAATATCCGAACCCTGAGAAAGGCTTCGAAGCATGCGAACCAAGGCCGGGAGCTTCGATCCAACTTGCCAAAACACCGCTCCGAAAGCTGCAAGCCGCCCAGCATCCTGAGAAGAAGCTCCAGAAACCGTGCAAACCAAACCTCAGACCTGGAATCCTCAGAGAAGCCACCAAGAAAGCTGAAGCCAAGCCTGAGGTCTGTCGCCGCCAAACTCCAAACCTCGGATCACAAAAAAAACGAAACCTCTCAGGCCTCAAGGCATCCGCTTTGGGAGCAAACCAAAAAAGCGGGCCAATCCAAAGCACATGACAAGCCCCCGAGGGTGCTCTCATCACAGTGCCAAAATACGCCCAACCAAAACAAATGCTTCACAAGATTGTGCCCAAAGCGATTGCAGCAGCTGGAAGCAATCGTGCATAGAGGAAAAATTAGCACAGAGCGTCAGAAGTACATGCAGATACATGGGTTAGCGAGTAGGCTTCCTAACAGACGACATGATGGCATCTTCGGTGTCCTGCAGGCATCCCAGGCCCTTGCTGGGCTCCACAGTGTGCAAATTCTCACACCGTCATCGGCGTGGATGCCTGCAGCAGCAGTTAACGCCCAGATGTCCCAAACACAGGGTTTTTGCAGCTCCAAATCACGCTTCGATCCAGTCTTGAGTTCCAGAACCGGCCCCGCCACCAAGTGTGAGGCAAACAGAGAATTAATTACATGAGGAAGGGAAGCAGAAGCAGCCAATGCTCCTTCGATTCTCCACGGTGTTTGGGGCTGGCAGCATGCATCAGCTCTCGCTTCAAAGGCCAAGGATATCTACAGAGTCTGTCCATGTGTGATTTGCTTGTGCAAGACTCGAGCAGGCTAATTGCATGAGGGACCTGGGCCACAACCTCCTTTTCCTCTTCGGAAGGCACCTGTTGTGTTTCGGACTCGTGTCGGCGACAGTTGTTTTATGTCTCATGCGAATCGTTGACAGGATACCTTTGATGATCCTGACGATGCCGCTTCATGGGGTGCCCATATTGGGTCAGGCAACGTGTCAAGTCTCTCCAATCTAATTGTAACGAAGAGCTTGCACTGGGTATGGGCTGTTGCTAGGTGGCATGGCTTGTTCTGAACGGGTGGATTTACGCGTGGGAGTTGGAAGCAGAGTTCCTTGTCTTGTCAACGCCTCAGCCTCCTTGTGGCAACCATGCCGTGAATGTATCATTAGCGCTGCGCTGGTTTGCTTCAGCCATGTTGCACGGCATTGCACCGCCTTGTTCGTGAAGAGCTGAGTGCATGCGAGCGGCACCGATGCAACGAGCAGTGGCAGTTCGTCAGCAAGCGTTTCGGTGCCTTTGTGGGTCCCTTGGATATATAGTCTTGATGCACAAGAGAATTCGCAAAAATTGTCTTTAAGTCTTTGCGTACCGCGTACCTTCGGCACACTCTGTGTTGAGGCTTTGGAACGACAGCAATGGCACTGGAACTGACGCTTGGGCTGCATTGGGTCATGCCTTGACGATGACTCATGAAGAATGTCGGTGAAAGGATTCCCTTCATTGGTCCATGGGTGTTCTTTGCTTCCAACGCATGTGGAGCTGCATTGCTTGCAGAAAGCTTCTTCGAGGAGCTGCTTCGCCACAACTTAAAGTGCTTCTTTCAGAGTTGGAGATCATATCAGCTCAGTTCCCAGCGAGGAGACGCACCTCCGTGCCAACGGAACATGGATTGCAAAGACTGTCCAGAATGGGGAGGTGGTAGGTGCGGGAAGAGTCACAGAGAAGAGGAGCCATGATGCAGCCAGAGTCCAGAGTGTTGGAGGCAGTTCTTCAACGGAGGGCAGCTCCAACGGGCCTAGCTCGCCGCCGATATGCTGACCTGAGAGCAGTCGGAGAATTTTAATTTGGGGTCGGGCATCAATACAAGCACAAGACTTGCGAACGAGACTGTGAGACGACACGGCTCAGTGATACTGCTGCGTGTGAAGTGTGGAGCAAGGTCAATGACACATGATGGCACTACTGTATCTCGTAGACATATGCAGCCAGGCAGAGCCTGACTACTTTCACGAGGGCGAGTATGACCTGGCGAAGGACTCGCTATTGGAGGAGAGCGGGCTCTGACAACAGCACCTCTCAGCAGCACGGTCTGCAGCTTCTTCCTGAAGGACTTAGGTGCAGTGAACGGTGTCAAGCAGAACGACAACATGCTGCGACCCAAGATTGCTCCCAGGAAGCACCGGCAAAATGAGAAGATTGCACGCATGCACAAGCTATACCTGAATGAGCCAGGGAGCTTATCTTCAAGCGGGCCACGCCGGCCTGAGAGTCACCTTCAGCCGAACAGGCACTTGCAAAATCGACACTGGTGCGTATGAGAGATGGCTTCGAATAACAGTCTGATTCTCGAGTATTTAGGTGCTTTGATTGAATAGGTTTTAGCATGCAAACACGTTGGGGTTGAGCGAGCATTAGCTGTCGCATGATGTGGCACCCTCCGTCTAACAGTACTTTACCCTCAACCCAGGCGTGCCTGCTCTTCAGGCAAGAAATCGACAGGCTTGCTTCCTCGATCCTCGATCACACCTTGGGTTAAATAATCTATATAAATACTGGATTTGAGACTTTCTCTTTGCTAGCTTATTCCATAAAACTGATAAGACATGAATAGAGAAAGTGTAATATTGAATTCGTTAAAATTTATGAAAGGTTATGTTGGCGCGGTAGGCTGGGCAATGTATTTTTTTTGGTTTTGTATTCGTAGGGTCGCACACGTATAGACATTCAAATATTTCATATATACGGTATATAATTCATAGAATCGTATTTCATAGACGCTTTTCAGTTCTGGAAGGTTTGTACGTCGATAAGTATTAATTCTGCGGGATCCGGTGCGCGTTTGAGATCTCTCTCGTTAGAAGAAGATTATAATGGATTCTTTCGAAGAGGATACGGCGCGCGTTTCGTCTCTTCTCTTTGAAGGTCGAATTCTGATTAAATATTGATTCTAGGTAGATCTCCGAGTTATGATATACGTTTGCTCTCACTTTTCTTCTCTCTATTTTGATATTTTGAAAATTCGAAAATAATTGAATCTTGCGTTGAGAAATTCTATGAAATAAGAAATGCGTAGAATGATGTTTTTTGTTAGATATAAAAGAATCAATAGAAATATTCATTTAGTAGTAGATAAGATGATATCGCGAATCCGTGGCATTATATTTGGGCGCGTGACCGTTAAATTATTTCTATGAAA